CCCCAAAACCCCAAAACCCCAAAACCCCTTATAAAATTACACCAGTTGAACGCCTGAATATCCGATTATCAATTACCAAACTCCGAGTCTCCACCTCTTTATAAGATCAATATAGAGTAAGCCGAAGAAGACGATTCCAATGAAAAAGCTCATTGCCTGTGTTATCGTGCTATGAGTTGAGTTATCACCAGAGCACTTACATCAATAGACTTCTGGATTCATATCTCATTGCTCTTCTATCTGTATAAAATTAAACCGAGTTTAAGAAATTAAAGATGTGTTAAAAATATTGTGTCAAATGATGTCAAATGATGCTTAATGATAGACAAGTTCCAGTACCCAGATCAAAGCCAATCTATAATGTCATCAGTAGTGCCTACCTCGAAATGCAGCTCTTCAGGCTCATCGTCCATCAGCGGGTTTGGATGCAAAGATATCAAATGCTGCTTGTTCTCCATGTAGTGGAAGTCTCTGATGTTGTTCTGGTACTGAGTCGGAATCAACTTGACTTTCATCAGTGAAGCCATGTCCATGGGCACTCCGACTCCCTTCTTCAGGATCTCGTATCTTTCGTAGTAGACCTACAAGTTGACACGCAAAGTACCATTCTCTGTCTTCTAGCGGGGTCTTCGAGCCCATCAAAGCCGTAATCATTGAGCATTTTGATCCTGACTTCACCTAGCTCATTGCTTCTGATTTGGGTACTGTTGAAGGTGAAGTACAAGCTTTCTTCTACTTCATTGGCAAATGGGGCAATATCCTCGAGTTTGCAAGTCAGTCTAGACATTGAAGCAGAGCTTACCTGGCAAAGTCATCGATGCGCTTTGTAGTGCACTCATACACATCGCTCATGTACTTCACATCCTCAGAAGATTTTTCTGAATTTTGGAATCCATTTGATGTAGCTAATGCGTACTGTAAGTCTCCTCCTTCAACCAGCGGAATGTCAATCTCTGTCTGCATTGAAGTAGGAAACTCTCTGTATGTGTGGGGTGAGTCGAAGCACCACACAATTTCAATCTTGAACCTTCCAACGATGAAGAAGATTGCGAAGCCAGCAACATAAAAGATGACGGTGTACCAGCCAAGATAGAGGCTTCCAGCAAATGCATTGTTGTAATGGCCGCTGACTTTCTTCAAGAATTTTTGTGAAAGCACACAATTGTACAAAAAGGGAAGGAGAATGATAAGCACTGGGGATGATGCCAAGGGAGTTAAATAAAAGAGAGCAAGGTCAATTTGGATAAACGCTGGGGCATACCAATACTTCCTCTGTTCTCCTGCGATCCTATCGTGTACTCAAGTATCCACTTTGGGAAATTTGCTCAGCAATCTAATGTTTTCTATAATTGAGTTACAAAGCAATTACTTTGGAATTCACTAATATTGGATTGATGGCACTTTGGAGGGTAGAACTCCCATAGATACGAGGAGTGTGAGTCTTCTTTTTCTTTGTTTATTGAGCCCTGATCTTCTCTATCTTCCTATAACCCGATAATAATGAAGTTCTTTCTATCTTAGGAGATGATAAAACCCATCTTTATTCTTTAAAGAGCTAAATAATAAACAAACCAAAATCATTGCTAGCCTAGATATAAGCATACTCTGGAACTTTTGTCCCAGTACAGCTTCACCAAAGCACTTGAAAGGTTCCTCTAACTATCTTGGAACCTTTTCCCTGTCATAATCTCAGCTCTCACTATCTCCTAGAAGGCCTTACCCACTGCATTGATAGTGTAATGTATAGAGTTGCTACTAGAACTATAGCTTTCTTGTTTGTCACTCCCATGATAGTGAATTAAAATTAAATATGGATCGCTTTAATCCAATTTAGCTTTGATCATAAGGGGTTTTGGGGTTTTGGGGTTTTGGGGTTTTGGGG